CACACAAGTGTGCTACACAACAACACTAGTCCCGAACTTGGAGTCACCAAACGCGGCCGCGACCAGCACACAATTACAGCTCTCCCGGATCTCAAACTTCAGATTCGACGCGATTGCCTTTTCTATGAACTTGTGCCTGCGACCGGGGTCCTTCACCAACTTGGCCCCCGCCGAGACCAGCACATCTCCAGCAGCAGACCGCTTTTCCCGCACGCAAATGTCCAGTGGAGAGAAGCCTCATGGCAACTCAAATTGACAATCGTGCAATAACCACCTGTCACAGCTTGCGAGCATGCTGGATGCAGCCAGCATCGCCATCATTGTTCGTGAAATCCAGCTGAACTTTAGCTTGCTTGGTGAGCAATTGCACAAGGGGGCCAGAACCTCAGCTGGACGAAGTGGCCGAGCAGAACTGGACAGTCGTAATCGAGCAAGTCTCAATACAGCATCCTCTACGGAAGACTGGCACTTCGTTCTTGGTAGTTTGAGGCAGACAGCCAGAGTAGGCTGCCTTGTGCAATGGCGTGTTGCCCTCGCGATCAGCCTGCACCGTTCCAGCCAGCAATGCTGCGAACACGGACTTGGATCTCTTGGCTGGTCCGAATGCGACCTTCTCAGCAGATGCCCTCTTCTCCAGCAAGAAGAGTGCCACCTGGCAGGCCACATGCATGCAAGGTTTTCTGGGTCTCACACACGCATCCATCCTGCAGGCCGGGCGACCTCCGTCGCGCCAGTTTCGGCTGCGCGGTGGAGAGGGGTGCACCGCCAAAGATCCTGAAAGACGAAGCTGCGGGGTGCTGCTGGGGGTTTCGAACGGCCCATCCCCCAATGGCAGCCGAGCAACAGTGCTGGACACATCTGGCCACGTGTCGCTGCACTGAACGTCGAACAGCTCCTTTTGCGGTCACAACTATCAGAAGCTATAAACATTAGGATGATGACTGATGGTTTTTCACCGAATTAAGGCCGCTCTGCATACAAGCGGCTGGCTCCAACAAAAGCTTAGCCACGTCCAGGTGGCCACCGTGGGCAGCAAGGTGAAGCGGCGTTGCCTTCCTTGGCTTGCGGGGCCCTTAAACGCTGAACAAATCCTCCCGCATTGACTCATGATGATAGCCTGCGCTGCCTGTAAGGGTCGTCTTGGTCAGTGCAGCTGGATCCGCCGCTGCCCTCAGAAGCCAAGCGCACGCATGGACGTGTCCACCCGAGGCTGCCAAGTGGAGCGCTGTCGCTCGGTCCTCGCAAGGCTCTTACCACACTCGACGCCCACAAGATCTGAGGCGACGTCGAGCATTTGCCAACAGATTCCAAGCCTCTTTGGTGCCGTCTTGCAGCCGCTGACTGCCTCGCTTTCTCAGTCTCGTATGGCCGCAGGCATGATGCTTTTACATGGTGGTGAATTGTGCCGAAATGCTGTGTCACCTTGTCATGCCGGGCAGCTCTCGGCAGCCTGGGTCAAATGCCAGGCCAAGGTGGGCACATCTCCTGATGCCGCCGACTCATGCCAAGAGCGGTCTTCGTGTACCTGTCCATCTGGATGAGCTTGAATATGCTACCACGACCCGATGCCGGCCTCATCCATAGGTGATGCAGCAGCTGGGCTCACCTTTGCGCTACCCAGCGTGCCACTAACTTGCAATTCTTGGTCTGCTCCTGTCCGGCCTCCGGTGGCTTCTCTTGCAGCTCCGGGCCGTCGCAGTCCAAGTCTTCCGAGGCGTCCTTGACAGCTCGGCGAACTGCAAATCAGAAAGTGGTACCTCGCCCTGCACGAAACAGATCTGAAATGGATCGACTGTCCAGTAATTTGTTGCGTCACGCGGACACGTGTCAGCCGGATTAGCCAGATCAAAGCTGACAGAGAGAGCATACAGAATGTAAAAAAAAACACACACCCACACACACACACACACACACTCACTCTCCGGATACCCGCCTTGTCAGGCAGCTCCACTTCCCCGACTGCTTCTCCTGGAAGTAGTGGCTGCGGAGGGGAAGCATCATAACCTTGGCGCGGCGCATGCGGGGTAGATGCGACCCGGGCAGCTATGTCCCCTGACCTCCAGCAGCTCCCGTTGGTGTAAACTCGGCATGAGAAGCGCAGGTCGAGGGCACCTCCTTTGGACACATTCTCACTGTGCAGCCAAGCAATTACTTGTGCTGCACGCTTCGAATCTATGAAGCCTTAACAGCCTAACCATGCCATCGGTCCGACGTGAAGACATGATTATTGATCGATGCTCAATCTGTTCAACTGAACAAGAAAGGGCACATGTCAGCGTAAAGCATGACGCACTGCGAGACCCAGCTTCGAGCCGTCCTTCGAGATCTTTGCTGCGTCTTCTTGCCCTGCTAGTGGCTGGAGAGCGTCGGCTACAGTCTGGCTGGCACAACAGCCCATGGCGTCGTCCTGCGTGACTTACATCCCATGTCCACATCGTGTCCTACCTGACCCCAACGTTTTAAGATTTGCCGGCATGGGTATACTAAATCCATCCATCCATGCACATAAGAAGCGTGTGCGTATGTTTCTATATGTTGTCAGGCATACATATCTGTCTTTTGGCATGCATGCATGCATGCGCCCTATACTACGCCTTTGATTCAGATGGAGAGAGAAAGAAAGAGAGACCGAGAGAGCGAGAGAGAGAGAGAGAGCGAGAGAGAGAGAGGGGGGGGGTTATAAGAGGATGACACCATTAATTATTCAGACCTAGATTGCGGGGCCCTAAGAACCCACACCCACCGTTTGACATGGGAGCCTAAGATTTCCGGAGTCAGACAGTAGCTGTAACAAGAAGCTCTTCAGACTTGAAGATTTTGCCTTACTGATGTGATTAGGTTTTGGGGGGATGCTCTATTGCAACCATAAATACGTGTGATCTATTCGGAGGGCATATTACGCCTTGATTCCCTTAAATCCTAAACCCCTGACAAGCTGGATTGTATCAAAGAAGCCTCTGTCCTGAAGTATCGGGGTGTTCTTCTCTATGTCTCGGCAGTCGCAAGACCTTGAAGCATAGACTTTGGGGTAGGGTTTAGGGTTTTGGG